TAATCTGCATCACTGTCTTCTCAGTGTCTTCCTCAGTTGCAGCAATAGCCTGAGTAAAAGATCTCCTCATCTAGTGGACCTTAAAAGCTACTATAACTTCTTTATCCATTGATTGGATCAAAGAGGTGGTATTTAGAGGGAGAAAAACCACTTTGATATTGAGATAAGGATCACCGATAAAAGGAGAATATCGAGAAGCATTGTCAACAATTAGCACAATCTTGAAGAGTATGTTATTCTCCAAGCAGTACTCCTCCATTTCTCTGGAATAGCAATTCAAGAGGACATTTTGCAAGAGGAACTAGGTTATCCATGACTTGTTATTGCTCCTATACTACCCCAGCAGTGTGTGCTTATTGATATACTTGAAGGCCTGGGGTTCTCACCGTGCCTAATCACAAAGGGTATCAATTTGTAGCCTGCAACATTGCCCCCAAGCAAGATTTTATCCTGTCCTTAAAAGCCTTGAAACCTGGCATTGATTTGCCCTCCTTATAGATGAAGGTCCTTTTAGACATCCATTTCCAGAATAGGGAAGTTTCATCCATATCGAATCTTTGCTCTGGCAAGTACTTTTCCTCCACAATCAGCTTATCTGGAATTCCCAAACATTCTTCAGCTGCTTTCACACTTCACTCATAGACTCACAACTTACTTTCACATTATGTAATGAATAACAAGTCTTGAATTGTTTAAACCACCCAGACCTAGCAATAAATTCAACATCATAGTCAGCTCCAGGCTTTTCTTTCAACAAACTTTTTTGCTTTGGCCATGATCATCATGGTGCTTAAAGAGATACACTTCTGTGTCTGGTTTTCAATCTGGGTCATTACAAGTTTCCCCATGTCTGATGTAGGCCCTTCTTAAATTTTTGTTAGTCTTATTGCCTTCAGTGAAGCAGATCCTTCTTTAGCTTCTATCACTTTGTTCTCATCCTTCAAGATTGTAGCTATGAAGAAATGTGACATGTGTGACTGGTGAGCAATGACCATCACCAACTTTCTACCTTTGTAGTCTATATTCACTTTTAATTTCATTTCTATGTCAATCACTCACTGTGGCCTCTTATTGGCAACACTGGCAGTGGATTTTGTATGCTTAGAGGCTATGATGAACAAAAGGACACTAGATTAAATCAAGCACAAAATAAAATGATGCGATCAAGAGATGTATGAGGTTGCTGTCAGGGTAATACAGCTTACTCTTTTACAGAAGCAAAACATTTTTTTTTATAAGTGTCAGTGGATTTTGTATGCTTAGAGGCTATGATGAACAAAAGGACACTAGATTAAATCAAGCACAAAATAAAATGATGCGATCAAGAGATGTATGAGGTTGCTGTCAGGGTAATACAGCTTACTCTTTTACAGAAGCAAAACTTTTTTTTATAAGTGGAAAGAGTATACTCTAAAATAATGACAAAAGTATAGTATAGTAAACACATAAACCAGTAACATAGTAATTTATTACCATTATTAAGTATCGTGTACTATACATAATTGTACGTGCTTTACATAACTGGCAGCACGGTAGGTTTGTTTGCACCAGCATCACCACAAACACATGAGTAACATGTTGCGCTTTGACAATGCCATGGCTATGATGCCATTAAGCAATAGGAATTTTTCAGGTCCATTATAATCTTATAGGACTATCTTCATAAATACAGTCCATTGTTGAAACGTCACTGAGCATCACATAATTGAGGCACTATTTATAGATAGACAGTGTTTATACAAACCTCTTTTGGTTACTATGAATTCATTGGTTATGTATTATCATCCCATTTTAGAGATAATAAAACTGAGACTAAAAGAAGGTGCTTGGATGACAACAAGCAGACACTCTAAAGCAGCGGTCCCCAACCTTTTTGACACTAGGGACCATTGCTCCTATGAGAATCTAAGGCCTGATGATCTGAGGTGGAGCTGAGGTTGTGATGCTAGCGCTGGGGAGCAACTGCAAATACAGATGAAGCTTTGCTGGCTCACCCGCTGCTCACCTGCTATGCGGCGGTTCTTAACAGGCCACAGACTGGTACTGGCCCGGGGGTTGGGGATCCCTGCTCTAGAGCATTGTATTCAGACGTTTTGCGTGAAAGACATTTTACTTATAGATAACACTTAACCAATCTGTATTTAACTGAATCTCATCACTTGGAGAGGAAGGAACTTGGAGAGGAAGGAACTAAAGTTTAATAAGTCAACTGTGTCATGTGCTCATTGCTTTTACATGTAGTATTTAATTTAATCCTTTCTTTATTACTGTGAAGTAGACCAATTATCTTTACTTTATAAATGATGAAACAGATTCATAAAGGTTAAATTAGTTGCCAAGGATAGAGAAAAGTAAAAAATTAAAAAAAAAAAAATTCCTTGCCTTGTATTATATTCAAGCTGTCTCTATAAATAACTGAGTCAAATTAGAACTAGGGGACCCTTAATTAAAATTTTTGGCTTTTTGCATGATAACACAGTTCATGATGTTCTTGGAAAAATTTTCAGAAGACTACTCTTTGAGTTTTTAAAATATACATTTTTGGAAAATTTATGCATTTATTACTTTAGGCATACTTATATATATTTAAATTTAAAAGTAGAATATTTACATATAATCCTTTGATAAATACTAAATCCGCTTGATAAGTGAATTTTGGGTCATAAAAGTAAGGAAAAGTTTTACTTATGTGTTTTAGAATTAGAATGAAATAAAAGTTAATTTTAGTAACCGATATTTAGGCAGTATTATGCTGTTAATCATTTAAAATTTTAAATTCGCCATTGTTAAAGATGATGGTGCCAGTGAAAATGAAAATATACAGAGAATTAAAATTTTGCTGGAAACTTTAGTGAGAGACACTTTTCATTTTTTTGTCTCTTGTGGGTCCTTAAATGACCAAATACTTAGTTAGAATACTTAACTGTGGAATTATAGAAAATAAAAAGGTTAACAAGAAGCAAATAAAAATCTATGGTTATGAGAGCACAGAACCCATTGAAAAATAGAGTAATAAGCTTATATTAGGATCACAAGTCCTATAGTTAAATCGAGATTGATTTTAAGATTGTATCATTAAAAGGAAAATAAATACATAGAGGCCTGAAGTATTAGACAATTTCTGTCTCTAGTAGTATATTATTTATTAACGTTATATCATAGAATACACAGTTACTTTTCTCATACTCTGATTGTATGTTATGGGTAGCATCTATCAGAAGTGCCACTGTAATTGTTCAATAAATGTTTCTCAAATTGAACAGATGTTTGCTTGCCTTATGTTGTATCCAAACTCCAAACCTAGCCAGGAATTTTATTTTTGAAGTCATCCCCCAGTTTCTAAAAGTTTAAAGACACATTCATTAGACAAATACGTAGAAAAGAAGTGAAATTATGATAAGTAGGCAGACATTTGAGCTCTGTGAGAATCACCAGGGCTTGATATTTCTAACATCAGGGAAAAAAAAACAGAACTACTTAACTCCATGTGCTTTAAGTCTCAAGATGATAAGAAAAATATGTTTTCAATCTTTGCCCAAATGTATTCAGTTCGATATGAGAATAGATATGTCTCATATTAATACTTAATTTCTGAATACTCATGAGCTCTATTAAAATTCTCTGGCAAAATCCTACCAATATTTCTTTCCAGTAGACTCTAACTCAGGTTTTGGCAGGCTCTGACTGATTAGCAGGTTTTTTCTTTCCCAATCACATTTCTGAGCACACCCAAATAGAGCTATGGGAACTCACTGTTTAAAAAAATACTCTTTACAAAGAATATTAAGGGCTTGTTTAGACTATGTAAAGGAGGTATAACTCAAGGTAATGGAGTGTAATAGAGAAATGGGAAATGTCTGGAAAACAAGATCACTTAATATAGAGTTATCCTCTCTATTCATATCTATACATGAAAGTATGGAATTGAGCTAACTTTTCATATAGTTCAAGTCCATCACTAAATTAAAGAAGCCACCACTTTATATATATATATATATTGCATATGTACACAACCATTACATGAATGGTCACATAAGCCACATCATAACTTTCAGATGTAAGTGGTGTTCTCTTTCACTCATCACCATTTACCATTCCATCTTCACTCAGAGAATGGCTGATAAGCAAGCAGAACTATAGCAGATGACCTTATGCTATAAACTTTGAAGAGCTCTCCTGAGGCTCAGGAGAAGTTCTACTTGAAGCAGATAAATACACACAGAGGAACTCATTCAATAATTCTTGGGTAGATGGATGGACATAGATGGATGTCTTCTAAAGAGACACAGGCCTGTAATATTTCCAATGGTTAAATAGCTCCTGATATTCTAATGATATTAAACATTTATATTTCCACTGTCGCAAAGACACCCTGGAATAAATATGCCTAGATACCTTGGTTAGGTCTCCACAAAGAACTGAACATAAATGATAAAGACTTTATAAAGTTTTCAGTCTTAATAAATTCTTAATCAAGACTTTTAATAACAAAAATGCTTTACCCCTCATAAAAGTTAATGAGAACATCAATTATCTCCTTTTCTCTGTAGGAAAATCTTCCCTCTCCCCACTCTACAAAAGGAACAGTTAGTACTAGTTTTAAACTGAGAACCCTCTTGAAACTCTGTCACTCTGAGTCAATTTTAACCCTGGCTGATTCCAGTCCTATATAATTAAATGTCTAACACTGTAACAGCAAATATTTGTCTATAATAGTATCATAAATTATATCTAAGGCTAAATAAACCAAGAAAGAAAGAAGGAACTAGGTTTTTAAGAAAGATATTGTAAATTCACAAATTTAATCTTATGAATACACGCTCTGGAGTTAAAAATATGAGAAAATTGTCATTGCAAATTTCATGAGATGCTTCTAAGAATAAAGCTCTTTTGCTGCTTTTACACAGCAATAAATGCAACATATAAAGTTATATTGAATATTTTATTGTTCTATATTAAATAAAATATTTACTATCCCAAAGTGAGAAGGAAATTCTTACCACCTTCTTTAGTGCAAAGGTTGACGAGGTTGTGTACTGTGTCCATCAGCTCCAGCTGTTGCTTCTGAAGGACACTGTTGTTGGTGGTGGCTCTGTTCAACTGTTTCTCTAGTTCCTGAATTATGTACGTTTGACGAGTAACCAAGCCTTGAAGATTCTCTTTCTCTTCCTTTAAGGCATCCAACTCTTCCTTGTGCTTTCCCTCCATTTCTAAGATTTTATGTTCTAATAAACTATAGGAAATAAAGATAAGATTTAGTTTTTAGAATGCTATACGAAAAAAAAATGTGATTTAACTATTTCCTGAGCTTATTTAAAGTTAGAAATTTTAATTAGATATTTCACCAAAGAAATATTTTATAAGTAAGAAACTAAGAAATATATATATATATATAAATATGTATATAGAGTTACATATATAACACATCAAATGAAGAAATATTAAACCAGTTGTTGTCAGAGTAATGTTTGTTTCCTAAGTATAATTTATATCCTGAGGTGTACCTTCTATCCAGGGTAGCTGACTTGGATCTAAACAATTACAATCTGGAGAAGTTACAATATAAATTTCATTAAGGAAATAGGTCCAATAAGAAATAGAATAGTTTAGGAAAAAAAGTTTGAACAAAATATAGAAACTATTTTTTATTTACTTTGTTTATTGGGGATTCTCAATGTATTAACAGTGATTAAATTTCATAGTAGGTCTGTGGATTCAAGGAATAATATATTAATGCAGAAAGCACAGGACCAGAAAATAAGCTGTGTGAAATCACAATTAGGTTTCTCGAGATTTTTGATGCCTGCTCTAGTATCATAACCAATAGCCTACTTTATCTCTAAGCTAAAAGAGATAAAGCTTCAGAATGAGGCCTAAGGGCACCACAAATTCCCAAACCACTGCATAAATGGTTCCAAAAAGGAAGACCTCGGGCTGGTGTTGTGGTCTTATAAAAGTACTTGGGTTGCTTTGCTCAGGATGATAGTCTTCAGCTGAGAACCTTCCTTCTCTCAGAACTCTTCAAAGGATACTCCCCTTGCATATTACACATTAATGATGATAGTTAATGCAGAGGCACTCTTGGATCCTAGCAACTGACTGGAAATAAAAAGCATTTACATTTTATAGAGTGTATAATGTATTAGTATTCCTCAGAGGAAAGCCTTATTCAGTTTTCTCAGTTCCATTTTCAGAAGGTTCGACCAGTCCTTAGTTTATAAGGTGTTATTCAAATGTAACGTACCATATTGGGCACTTAATTTACCTTGGAGAAATGTAGCACTGAATCATTTCTATAAGTTTTCATAAAATAAGACACTAGGGAGTTTTAAAATGTAATACTTAAATCATAAAACAGAGCACATTTGAAGAGCCAAATTTTCCAATTCCATGTACTGGGAGATGAGCTGAAATATTTGATTGTCTTTTACACGGATTAAGAAGTGTGGAAAGAACTGCTCAGGGGCATTCCAGATCTTTGCCATCAAACCTGTCCTTTAAGAGAATGTGGCCCAGAATATGGCAGGAAAGTTGCCTGTTGAACCAGGCCTGAAAAACACTGGGATGCTTTTGTGTATAAGACCCTATTAATTTACAAACACCTTTGTAACATGCCCAGATTCACATAAGAAAATTTCACATTAAGGCCTGTTAGGGGCACCTGTATGGCTCTGAAAGATAAGAAAAGCCATGCTTCTATTTTGAGTTGCTTTTATCCTACAGGACACCAATAGCGAAGGAGCCCTGCCCTGGCTAATCCTAAGCAAATTCAATTAGGACAGATCTTGAGTATAGTTATTCGGGGATGATGTGATGGTCATTGATATTTTTAAAATGTTTTTTGGAAATAAAAAACTTAGGCCAAGAAGTCATTGTAAGATGAAAGACAGTATCTCTAAGGAAAAGTACGATTCATAGTCTTAGTATTTTCTTCTTTGCTAATAACTTGCTGTTAGAGAACCTGACAGTTAAAAAACAAAATAAAACAAAACAAAAAAACTCTTCTCTATTGGTTAAAAAGTTCATCCCACCCACTGGTTGAGTGATTATTGTACCTCTGTGGATGTCAGAGAAGGTTTTCTTTGTGCCCATTAATTTTTGGCCTTCAGATCTGAGAATTAACCACAACCAATCCTTAGAGCATTCTGTTTACTCTTTACCATTTTTGTTTCTCCTATGATAATGATCAGATGTAAGACACCCATAAATATAGAGCCAGTTAACTCATGAGAAAATTATCTTTTAAATTTATAAGAGTTTTAGTGTACTACCAAGAAACTTAGAATTAACTATTAAAATGACAATAATGTAAAGATAAAAATTTGGATGTTACACTCATATAATACTAGATAAAAATTCTGCATTACCATTTTGTTGCTGAAATAAAATGAGCATTGGCCTTACAGTTTTCCTAATCAGTAGGTAACATTCTGGTTTGGAAAATATCATGCTATAGTTATAACTTGTATTTATTACTTGCTAAGTGCCAACAGTGCTCTCAGCACTACGTAAAATATAAAATGACATTACTCCTACTCTAAGGATTTATTTTTATAGAGAAAATCTCAAATAAAACAATCACAACTATAAGAAACATGTTTCAGACATAATACTTAAAAATTTTTTTTTCATTAATGTTTTCTATTTTCTACTTTTGATGCATTTCTTATTCAAGAGTACATATATACTTAAAGATGGTCACTATCTGAAATGTCAATAAAGGAGTTTTGTTTTTTTGTTTTGTTTTGTTTTTCAGGATAATTTAAAAAGAGCTTAGAATGAAAAGTTGATCAAAGAAGTCCTGGTGCCAAAGAAAACAATTCTGGACACTGGCTGGTGGAAGAAAAGGCCTGCATTTCCTAAAGAAAATGATATATACATTTCCCATCTCGGAAAAGACTATAATTTTCATAACTTACCACATAAACTTTAATGCACCATGGCTACCAGATATCAAAAGATATCAATAGAGCCTGTCATCTTGAAACAGATATTCATATAAAGAAGGGACAGTTCACAGAAGTAAGAAGCCTGTTTTGTACCATAGACATCTCCCAGTATTTGGAATGAGATATATGCATAAAAAATAATCTGCATGAATACTGTAAGCAAACTGGAAACCATTTGTTTCCCAAATGGCAGGTTTTACCAGTTAATTATCTCTTCCAGTCATTTCCTCATCTCATTTCTTCACTTGCAATTCCTTTAATAACTTCTGTACTCCAGTAATGCTCTACTAACTTTATTAGGTATTGCCTTTGTACTAATAACTTTTTAGATTTCTTCAGGCAAGACTGATCTCTTCTTGACCCTTTTATTTTCTGTGACACTGCTCATCCCTCCCTCTCATCTTCTTTTCATATTTTACTCCCTAAAAAACTATTCTCTTTTCTTTGATACTTCTGATCCTTTGGTTACTATATACTTGGAAAGTTAGCCCTTCCTCCTTACTGTTTCCAAACTGGTTTGAATCCAAAACTTTCTTGCCAGAAAAGTTCATATGCTAGCTCTACTTATTAATCACATTGTTGTAATATACCATTATAGTTGTGTAGCCTTTTATCTTTTATCTCCTTTGATTCTTAAAGCAATATGGTAATATAGACTGAGTAGATATTACAAACCTAGTTTGTAGGTAAGAATCTAAATACTTGTCCGAAATTGTGCATATATTGTGTTTTCTAACTCATCAGACTAGAAATCTGCCTATGACATCCCTGTGCTATGAAAACTAGCATTAAAGTCTCCTCTCTCTGATTTAGTAAAATATAATTTCTACCTATTTCTACCCATTTACTTTTAGCAGGAATCAGGCATCACTTTAATATCTCCTTAGTATTTGCTGCTCTCCATCTGTTTATTTTGGGGGCTTGTATTTCACAGTATTTCAGCCTATCCATCTTTTACATGTGTAAAAGACAAATCTCTATTTAATCTTAACAGATATTTTCTTAAGCACCATTCTGCCTTAACCACTCTGTCATTACATTTAATTTTCTTACTCAATATATTGATCGTATCCCATTATCCTGAAGCCTTTTATTGATTGATTCTCTTATATTTTCTCTATTCGAGTCAGTTGGGAGAGGCACAAACACTTCTATAAATAAAGGTTGACATGAAGAACAATATTATAGTTCCAGTGTCCTAAAATTAGATAGGCAAAGTAGTCATACTGTCCCTGATGATGAACTTCAGTAACAAGTTTAGTTTAGGTTTAAATGCATAATCCAAAACCTGGAAGCTGATTACAAACCCCAGCACATTGCTCTCTAAAGTGCATTCAGTATTTTTATTAGTTAAGAGTTCCATTGTCAAGTTTTTGAGAAGTCTGTATTAAATAAACAGTTTTTATTATGACATAACTTTTAAAATTAGTGTTCCATATAACAACAATTTATGAAACTGTGCACGTAAATCTTAATATACTAATTGAGCTAGAAATCCAAAGACTGAGTTTCTCACAGGATTTACAGTACTTCCTGTTTCTCATCTTTCTGGAAACACTTTGAGAAGAGACATACATAGAACTTTGGCATTTAACTGCTAGTGTGAGGCAGAGGTGCACTTTAATGAAGAATAAAATAAAACAATCTAGGCCTTGAACCTCAGTAAAAGGTTATAAATTGAGTATATAGAAAGCCTTATTAGAAGTTTTGGTTAACTTTTCCCCTTTCATTTCCATAGTCTGTCTCCTCAAAGATATCTTATTGGAAATATTTCAAACCATTGAATACATCTTGAAACTTTCACAGAAAAAGCTCTCCCTTTCAAATTGTTTCCCACAATTGAGTTCTTAACATAGCAGCCAATGAATGCACAGAGGTGACAGTTGCCTAAGCTCTATTTGTGTAAATATAGCTCTCAAACAAGGAGGAAGATGTTGAAATTGTAGAAATCTTATCATTTTTATCTGTCTGAACTTACAGATGTTTCAATTTTTACTTTTATTTTTAATATATAAAGTGTCAAAGTGTATTGAAAATATGGATTTTAAAGTGATATATATATATATTTTTCCCCTTCAAACAAGGGTTTAGTAAGTTCACTATAAATTTAGTCTTTTAATCGTACAGAGTAAATTTTCTCTCAAAATTTGAACTTAATTTTTGTAGTTCAAATGAGGACAGAAGTACAGATTATTATAAGTAAACACTGGCAAGTTAATGTTTTAAAGTTTGGGATAAATAAGAATAAGCTAAATATGTTGTAGAAACCAGAAACCAAGGAGGA